TGACGATAAATTTCAGAAATGCTTGAAACTTCAATATTTCGAAAGTTGAGGATGCTAATTTATTCAAAATAGATACACCCGGCTTACCATGTAGCGGTAGGTTTCGTAAATGTGAAAAAACATTTATTTAATATTTGCGCCGGGTATTTAATGTTCGGCTCCGCCCGAACTTAGACTTTCTTACTTGTTGAAAATGCCGTTGGTTACTCGTGAAGACAATGCTGGAAACAACAAGCAGCCGGTAGCAGCTGCATCCGGCTTATATCCCTTGCTGATGATGCCTACAATGTCCAGCGGAATACCATCGTCTTTTTCGGGAACTTCAATTGAGAGTAGCATGTTGCCTGGAGAGATTTTTTCGGCACGCATCCCGAAACTGCCACCTTTCTGGCGTGAAGAGCCAGAAATCTGGTTTTTACAAATTTAATCCAGTTTCAATCTTGCTGGCATAAGCCAAGATTCAACAAAATTTTAATATGTGCTGAGCCATCTTGATCCGTCGATTCTTTACGTAGTGAAAGATATCGTCAAGAGTCCTCCAGCACAAGGACAAGAATCATTCAACATTTTACAGAATCCGAGGAGAGTCAGCTGAAGCAGCTGTTAAACTACTTAGAGTTGGGTGACCAAAAGTTTTCGCATCTTATGCACCGCATGAAGTCTTTGGCAGGGCCTTAGTCAGTGATAATGTTTTGAGAATGTTATTTTTGGAAAGACTTCCGGGAAAAGGCAAGTGTTTCCTCGCGGTCACAGAAGCTACTCAATTGGACAAATTATCGAACTTGGCAGATACAATTTTTGAACAATTTTCTTTTACTTCGATGTCCATTGCTGAATTGGGTAAAAAAAGTGCGATCCGTTTCGCCTCGTCCTGTCGCATCGTCTCTTTCCGAATTACCCGATTTATCATTAAAATTAGACTCAATCATTTCGAGGATAGAAGCGATCAAAAACCGATCCCGCACTTCTCATCGCGTTTATTCATCCAGACATCGTCCATCACAATCTCGTTCAACATCAGGAACCCGCAAAGATTCAGGGCTATGCTTACAGCCGTGCGCTTTCAAAAATTCAAAAAACTAACTCCGCCCTTGTCAGAAGTTTCGACCACTCATGACGACGGTAATGCATCTGGTCGATTATTCATCACTGAGCGTAAGACGAAAGTAAAATTTTTGATTGACTCAGGAGCTGAACTTTTAGTTTTTCCATGCAAGTCTTCAAAACAATTCAGTAAACTCGTTCTACTGCTAACAGCATTCGTATCCCTACTTACGGTGAAAAATTATTAGAACTATTATTCTCTTCTTATTGGGCCTTCGGCGAAACTACAGATGGAATTTCATTTTGGCAGATGTATCAAGACCAGTTGTAGGAGCTGATTTTTTTCGATATTTTCACCTGTTACCAGACCTGAGAAGGAAAATACTCGTTGATGGTTTAACGTTTTTAAACACACCTGTTAGTTTTTGGAAGAGAAGGGGTCTTTGCATCAAAGCTATATCAGGCGAAAGTAAATTTCATGAACTTTTTTAAAGAATATCCTGAATTGTATTCTGCTCAAACGTTTTCTACCGAATGCAAGCATCAAGTCGTCCATCATATCACAGTTTCTGGTAGCCCTGTAAAGGCTCACCCAGAAGATAAGATCCGCAAAAACTTGCTATAGCTAAAGCCGAATTTCAATATCTTTTGGACAACGGAATCATTCGCCCAAGCAGCAGTAATTGGGCTAACCCACTGCACATGGTACCAAAAGCCGATGGCACTTGGAGACCATGCGGTGATTACCGAGCACTAAATAAAATTAATGTGTTGGATAAGTATCCGATACCGTATCTGAGTGATTTTACTATGGAAATGGCGGGTGCTAAAATATTTTCAAAATTTGATCTTATGAAAGCGTATTACCAAAACTCCGTAAATCCTGAAGATATCCCTAAAACCGCAGTTATAACACCATTCGGTCTGTTCGAGTTTGTGAGAATGCCCTGTGCGTTATGTAATGCGGCTGAGACCTTCCAGCGTTTCATGGATGAAGTTGTCAGAGGTCTTGATTTTGTTGTTGTTTATCTTGATGATGTTTTGGTTTTTTCGTCCGATCCTGATCAGCACTGGAAGCACATCAGGCAACTATTCGAACGATTTAAAACTTATGGCATAGTTGTCAATGCTGAAAAATGTGAACTGGGAGTATCAGAACTTAACTTTTTGGGACACAAAATTACCGCTTCAGGTATTGGTCCAATGCAAAAGAAAGTAAGCGCAATTGTGGATTATACAAAACCTTCAACAATCAAGGATTTAAGAAAATGTTTAGCTTTGGTTAATTTTTATCGAAGATTTCTACCAAATGGAGCAAAATCTCAAGCACCTTTAAATAATTTGTTGATTGGGGCAAAGAAGAATGACATGCGACCATTTTTCTAGGAATACAGAAACCGTTTTTGCTTTCGAGAAAGTAAAAAATGAAGTATCCCAAGCTACAATTTTTGCTTTTCCTCTACCAGATGCCGTCCTTGCACTTAAAGTGGATGGTAGCAACTTTGACATGGGGGCGTCGCTAGAGCAATACGTTAATGGTGACTGGCAACCTCTAGGATTTTATTCTAAAAAGCTTGCCCACGCTCAAGTAAATTATAGTACTTATGATCGGGAATTGCTTGCAATCTACTCCGCAGTAAAATACTTTCGCTATTTCTTGGAAGGACGACAATTTTAAATGTTCACCGATCCAAAGCCTTTGATCTACGCATTTCAGAATGAAGGAAGTTGCTTATTGAAAATAATCAATCTACCGGACAGTGATATTAAAATTTTCTGTGAAGTATCATCAGGTGTAGCACGACCGTATGTAGTACATACTATGTACCACTTAAATTTCGTAAAGTAACATCCTGGCATTCGTTCTACTAAAAAGCTAATCACGAAGAAATTTTTCTGGCCTTGGAGCCGTCCGTCGTCCGGCACAAAGCGCCAATCGCGACTGTGTAAGCCACTGTTTAATATTCTGACAGCGGCATAATCTCCCCAGAATACTAAAAGTGCAACATCAAAGAATTGAAATTACCATATTTGAAGCAATCGAGCCATAACCGCGAAAGAGACGTAAGCTCCAAATGTTTTTATTTGGCGTTTTTAATCAAAATTCCATAATTTTTCCACAAACTAATAGCTTCTTCATATCTATCTATTGTAAATGGTACCGCAAAGAGTTTACAAGGCAAACAAACACACCAAAAAAGTAGCTCAAAGTGGACCATCCATTCTCGAGTTATGCCCCGTCTGACGTACGCAACTTTCATATATACATACACACATTCATAGAAATATTTATTTTTAATAACAATCAGGGGTTATATTCGATGTAAATAAGCTGGTTTAAATTAAATAATTAAATAAAATTCGTTTTTGTTTTAAACTACCACTATGCACTGTTATCCCAACCTTTTTGCGGTATTTTGCTACTATTTTAGGAAGTGTGATGGAATTCTTCCCCTTTTTCCTGCTTCCAAAAACCATCCCTGTGGGTGGGAGTGTTAAATTTTAGAAAAAGCTACTTACAAAACCTTTCATTATTGAATCATGGTTTAGAGGTTTAAAAATATTTTGTGTCAGCAATTTGTCATCAAACTGCATTTGATCGTATTACGTACTCTATCCTCGGAAAAGCAAAAAAATGTATTTTCGAACTTTTGCACAGGTGTACCAAATTCTTGCAGTTTGGAAACGCGCAAGACTTTTCTTCTAATATTTTCATCCAACTTCACGTACTTAATTTTTTTTTACCTTTTCAAGAAACAAAAATTTTGCTGTTAGTGAATCTGGTACCATGATTTTAGTTAAATGTCATAAACTTGTTAAAAGTCAAGTGGTCGGCAACAACAACGAATGTCAATAAATGAAACTACCTCTATTTTTGTATCATGTTACAGCCCAACAGCCCTTGGTCGGGTAAAACCCGAGTCATTCCGGTACGTAGAACCGGCTATCGTGGAAATGCAGTAGCTTCTTATTTAAAGCTGTTACCATTTCTTTTGATAATTTTGGTTGCGTGTAGTTGCTGAGCCTCGTTTGTTTTGTAGCTGATGACGTACTATGTTCAGGGGCCATTGTGGCATGTTCTATGTACAATGTTAAATTTGAAATACATAAATACATATATGGAAACGTTACAATGCAATAAAACACTTACCATCGTTTCTTACCGATGTTGTTTGCGATAACTCAATTGATGGATGCTTAACAAGCAGATGCTTTCGTAAATTGGATGTACCTCCACCTAATTATTGTAATATATTTATTGTAAATAATTTTAGTCATTAAATAATGAGCAAATATGTAGGCATACCTTTGTAAGACAGAGTAGTTTTACAAAAATCGCATTTTGCCCTTACTGCATCCACCGCTGTAAAGTGCTGCCATAATCCGCTCCGTTTACCTTCGTTTTCTGCAATTAAATATTTGTAGCATGTAATTTCTAAGCTAATATTGTAAAAATACTTACTCAAACGCGACGCCATTTCGAACGTTAATGTATAATATTCAAACATAGATTTTCTTTGAAAAGAGAGTTACCACAGCTATTGCGAATTTGAAAAAATCTAACAACGTTGCCGCAAGAACTATAGCGGTTGGTAGGACTGTTGCGATAAGTACGAGAAAGGGATGAGTGTTTGTGATGGCAGTATTGTCGAGATGCGGTTGCCGTACATATTATGCTTGTTAATATTTTACGAAAACATCGTCTGATTTGTACATTTAGGGTTTTTTAGGCAATATCATATAAAATAGCTATGAAATAATTTCTTTTCAAAATTTAAATATATATTATAGCGAAGGTTTCATGTATCGAATCGGTATCGGGTACCGAAAAGGAAGTATTGGATACCGAAATTTTTTGCAAGTATTGGGTACCGAGTATTGGGTACCGACAATTCAGCACATCACTATTAATCGCAGGTTTTTGTATGGAAAATGTTTCACATGCAAATAGATTTTTAACAATTTAGAATTTTTGTGAGAAGAAATGTGAAATATTTGACAGTCGCAAACGTCAAGCTGTGAAGTTCTACTTATTTTGTGCCTTGATTGTTCTTTGTATTTTGCAAAGTTTATTGTGCTAATTTTGAGTAAAAGTTGCTATAAAAAGTGCCTACGAGCATCTTAGTGTGATAATAACCGAAGCTAAGTGAAAGATTTGTGATTTTTGTGGTTTTTATTAAATTTAATTAAATTTCACTAGCTTACATCTAATCTTGCCGAGTCATTTGTTGTTATCATTGTTGTTGTTATTCCTTTGTAGTTAACTGAGATCGTTTCTATTTTTGCACATTTCTTTTTGCTCTTTTTGTTTACTTCGTTTAGTATTTCTTGTCACAGCTGTTTGCGCTGCGTTTATTAAGTGTCATAATACAGTGATACTCAAACTGTTCGCTACATATATTTTTAAGCTAAATACATCAGTGTTGTGTTAAACTTATTTTGCTTGTCTTTTTATTAACATAAGTGTTATTAAATCTTTCAATATGAAGTGTGATCTTGATAACTGCCAAATTAAAAGCGAATCTGAACGCTACTTATCGTGCTGGCTCTGTGATGGTATTTGCCATCTAAAATGTGCTGGTTTGACAGGAAGAATTCTGGACGCTATTAATGATGGCAAAGGTCTTGCTTAAAGTGCAGGTCAACCGAAGTTGATCTCTTTAAGTTGTTTAGGCAAACCAGAAATGGGTTTTCTGAGGTAGGGAGAGAGTTGTCGGTACTGACCGAAAAATTTAAACATTATGAAAATGTATTTAAATCTTTTAAATGCTTAGATACCGTACAATCTATGAAGGACATTCATGTGTCAAAACGTAAGCGTCTTCATAGTCCGCCCAATGAAAGGACCGTTCCACGTCAGAACAATCTTCCGAATGACTTAATTAATCTTTCTTCTCCATGTCCACAGACAACGGAGTTATCTTCCTCAAAAGAACATATATCAAAGTCTGCTTCTAATAGTAACGACCCTGCAGTATCTTCCCCGTCCCCCGTTGAAGTTGTGGCACCGCCATCTAATCTTCCAACGCTTACTCTACCCTCAATTAGTAACTCAGTTACTCAACCCCGTCCGCCGGTAATCGAGTCTGATTCTAGGAGACTGGTTGTGGTTCCCCCCAAAGAAGTCTATATTTGTATCTAGATTTTCGAGGGATACTTCCGAGGACGATATAAAGTTTTACATCTCGTCCAAAGTTAAAACTGTCAACTTAAGTATCAGAAAATTTAATTTTAAATATGAAAGAAATATTTCTTCATTTAAAATAGACGTAAATTTAGAAAATTTTGACATGCTGCTTAGTAGTTCTTTTTGGCCCTCCGGAGCTTTCGTTCGTGAATTTGAGTATAGGCCCAACAAAAATAATAATTTAGCAAATATTCCCCGTCAGAATACAGAACCAAAAAACTGATTACTAAATCTGCTTTAAGTATTTATTATCAAAACGTAAGAGGCATAAATATTAAATTAACGAATTTATATCTTAATGGCCTTGAATGCAATTATAATATAATTTCTTTGACTGAAACTTGGGTCAAACCTCACACTTTTAATTCAGAGATTCTTTCAAATAATTATCATATCTACAGAAAAGATCGGGAGGACAGAGTCGGCGGTGGCGTACTCTTTGCCGTAGACTCTTCAATACCATCTGAAGAAGTTAGTCTTCCACACATTGAATCTGCAGAATTCAAATGCATTCGGGTTCAGGTTGGAAGGGGGTTTACTTACTTAGCTCTATGCTATATTCCTCCCCGATCTGACTTATCAGTGTATTCACAACATGTATCTTTACTGAAATCAATTAATCCAATGATTAAACCCTCTGATTCATTGATTGTGTTGGGTGACTTTAATTTACCAAATGTATCATGGAACATCATTGACAATGATATTGTACCTTTCTCGTCTAGCGCGTGCAACAACGTATTTTTAGAGGAGATGGCAGAACTCTGTCTGAATCAAGTTAATGTACTTCGCAATAAGTTTGGCAAAGTGTTAGATCTTGTTTATGTTGATGATGCATCTAAGTCGGCTGTAAATAAATGTGACCCACTAGTTTTGCCCGAAGATGTCTACCACCCTGCTATTGAGATATCTTACGAAATTATAAACGATGGTCGAAATTGCGATGTCCAAACATACGAACCAAATATTCGCTTTGATTTTTCGAAAGCCAACTTTAAAAAACTGAATAAAGAATTGTCTAAATTGTCGTGGCCTATATACAAAGAAAAAGTTGAGCAAAGCGTTGCACATTTTAATTGTACTGTACATAGATTATTTGAAAAGTATGTGCCTCAACGCATGTGTGTTCCTGAAGAACAAACACAGTTATGGTTCACTAAAGAACTGAGAAACTTGAAAAACAGAAAGTCACGTTATTTTAGATTACACAAAAAAACCGGCTTACACTCATACTATGTAAAATACTCACTTTTGCGTCACAAGTTCTTTGAATTAAACAAAAAGTGTTATAAAGATTACTTGTGTAAAATCAAACGACGTATAATATATAACCCCAAATCATTTTATGATTTCGTAAACTCCAAGCGAAATGTACGGGGGTTTCCTTCCGCCATGAAGTATCAAAATACCGTCTCTGGTGATAATCAAACAATTTCTAACATGTTCGCTCAGTTTTTTAAATCCAATTATTCCACTAACTCCCAAGCATACTTTGACTATCCTTTTAAGCTAAGTCCAATTAACTCAATACATAACCCTATAATATCTCCCGATGATGTTTTAGTTTACCTGAAGTCCTTAAAGCAGTCTTTTAGTTATGGTCCTGACCAGATCCCCACTTGTTTTCTTAGAAATTGTGCTGATTGTCTCTATGAGCCGTTAACAGCCTTATTTAATTTGTCTCTTAAAGAGGGCGTTTTTCCAACTGTATGGAAGGAATCGTTCATAACCCCCTTACATAAAAGCGGTAGCAGGTCTTCAGTGGAGAACTACCGGGGCATAGCTAAGCTTTCTGCAATTCCTAAATTATTTGAAGCAATTATAACAAATCGGTTGACGCATTCTATCACTTCAAGCATTTCATACAGTCAACATGGATTTTGCAAGGGCAAATCAACTTCTACAAATTTACTTGAATTAATATCCTATATCTCAAAAGCATTTAGTGAGAGCAAAACTGTTGATGTTATATATACTGATTTCAGTAAAGCATTTGACAAAGTGTGCCACTCGTTGCTCATCTATAAACTTGATCTTCTTGGTCTTCCACCTAATTTTCTACGTTGGGTCTCTTCATACCTCTATGATAGATCACAAAGGGTATTGTTTAAAAATACTATCTCTGACGTCATTGATGTTACTTCAGGAGTTCCTCAGGGTAGCCACCTAGGCCCGATTCTGTTCTTGCTTTTTATAAACGATATTTCTACAGATATAAAATTCTCCAAAATTTTAATGTATGCAGATGATGTAAAACTTTATAAATCGTACGTTTCAATTGAAGAAAGGTCTTTGCTACAATCAGACTTAAACAGCATGGCTTACTGGTGTAAAGTAAATCTTATGTCTCTAAATCTTAAGAAATGTAAAGTAATGTGCTTCTCGCGAAGAGCTGTTCTGCCAGTTTCTTATATAATAGGTAACCATAACCTGGAACAGGTATACAATTTTGTGGACCTTGGTATCACAATGGATCCTAAGCTTAATTTTAATCTTCACATTAATGTGACCGTCAACAAGGCTAAAGGTGTACTTGCATTTGTGAAACGATGGTCAAAAGAATTTAGTGACCCTTATATCACTAAAACCCTGTTTACAACATTAGTTAGGCCGATTCTGGAATACGGCTCGGTGGTTTGGAATCCAAGGTATCAAATTTACTCAGACAAGATAGAATCAATTCAAAAACAATTCCTACTTCTTGCTTTAAGAAATTTCCGATGGGATTCTCAATATAGTCTTCCACCTTATACGAGTCGCTTAAAACTTATTAACCTTCCTACACTTGCCAGTCGCAGGGAAATGCTTGGTATAATTTTTATGGTTAAATTACTGACAGGCTCAATTTCAAGTCCGTCTCTTCTGGCTGATGTAAGCTTTAATGTTCCCTCACGCGTATCAAGACACTTTTGTCCCATATTTCTGAAAGCTTGTAAAACCAATTTTGAATTGCACGACCCACTCCGTTGCTTATGCCAGGATTTTAACTCTCATTCCAGCACGTTTGATATATCAGATCCGCTTTTCAGCATTAAGAAAGCGATACTCTCCTCTCTCAATAAGTGAATTATTAACATAAATACATAAAATCAGCTGATGAATTTAGTTCTGTAGCTGAACAGTTTTAGATCTCGGCACTTAACAAACTCCTGCCTATCGTGACTCGGCACCAAAAAAAATTTAAAATATTGGTTCCGTACGTCATGCGGACTGCGCCCCTCGTGCGGATGGGCGGGAATGGAGGGTAAAAACCGTTGGGATATTATTATTATTATTATTATTTTCGAGAACAAATAATTTAAAAAAATCAAATTAGCTGCTATACTGATATTACCTGTTCAATGTGCCTTGGTTTAATTGTATTTTTGGAATAAACAAAGTTCTTTTTCCTTCTGTCAGTAAACTGTTTTTTTTTTACAAATAGTATAAATAAGCAATGGGAAATAAGGCAAAATTTGCTTTATTTCCAACCTTTGTTGGACTGATAAACAAAAAATTTTCAGGTAAAAGTGTCACCGTTTTTGAAATATTTACATTTTTTCGAATTTAAAAAAAATCGTGC